GGTGTTTAAGAGGATGTCCAGAAGTGTTAAGAATACTATAGGCCATTAATAAATCACCCACAAGACGCCTATACTCTAATGGGTAAAGGTCTAGTGAATGGAGGCGTTCTTCGTAAGGTTTAGATTTGAGTCCTCGAACTGATTTCGTGGCTCGCCGTTGGATACGCTCCAAAGTGACCTTGTCCTTTTGGAGTGAGGGGGGAGTACTATGTTTCCGTATTCTAAATGGGGACGGATGAAACTATTGAAGGTTGTATGGAAAGTTCGTCCGTCAAACTGTCCAAAAATGCGCTTCAACGTTACCAGTGCAAGGTTTGCTCGGAAGGCATTTTTGTCACAGTTAGCGTAAGACTTAAATCATGGGGCACCAGGACTCCTAAATCTTTTTCGACTTGGGATACTACTAGAGGGAGTTAGAGAGGAGGACTCCATGAGTTTTGAAGGTAATGACAGAAGAGTCACCGGCCGATAACTTGAAGGTTCATTGCGTCGACCTCCTTTGAAAATTGGTTTGATGTGAGCCAACTTCCAATTTTTCGGTAATTTGCCTCGGCTTAGAGAGTGTGAAAACATCACGCTAAGCGGCGTTGTCTGGATTGAGGTTGCCTCCCTCAGTATGGCAGGATGAACCATATCCGGGCCAGGAGAAGTATCTAGTCTTAAGTGCTGCAATTTCCGGAACACCAAGTCAGCGCTTAGGTCCACTTCAGAAAGTCCTGTGGAATTGCAGATGAAACTGTCGTCAGTAAAGTTGATGTCAGCCGGTTGAAATGTTTGAGAGTAATGTGCCGCCAGAAGGTTAGCGGCGTCGTCACCGTTGTTGGTCGGGCCGTTAAGACCTAGCAGTTGAGAAACTCCTGCTTTGGCTTGACGAAGAGAGGCTGCATAACGGAATAGGCTTCTAGGGTTAGAGGCAAATTTGTCCATAAGCTTTGTCTGGCACTGAAGCCTGTCTTCTCTTATAGCCTTCGTGCATATGTTCCTTATATGTTTATATTGCCTATACGCTCCGTCGTTATCAGTTCGTTTGTATTCCGCCCAACAGTGCCTTTTACGGCTTAGCAGGCAAAGGGTACGGTCCTTGATTACTGTAGGTGGCTTGAGCTTTTGGGAACCGTTTGAGGAACTGAATGGTTTGTAGCACATAAGAGCGTGTGCAGTAAGAAGTCCCAATGACCGTCCACATCGAGTTGAGGCTGAACATCCCAAACCACCTGTTGTAGATAGTCATATGGAGCTGTCACGTTCAGCCGTTTAAAATTCCAACGCGAATTATTGTTGGGATACCTTAGCTTAGTTTTGATGACAAAACTGAAGGCTATGACGCCATGATCGCTCTTTCCCAGAGGAGCCAGGATTGAGAGGTTGTCAACTAGGAATTCTTCGTTTGCGAATACACAGTCTAAGGTATTTCCCGCAGTTCTGGTAAAAAGCATTGACCAGTGGAGTTCAACCAGGTCTGTTGTCAGATAGTAGCTCACTGAACACAATGGTGGATGTGTAACTCAATTTCGTGGATTTGTTGAAGTTAAACGCTAACACCGTTGGATACCGGCTCGGTGTTTTAGAGGTTGAGCGTTCGCGTGCAAGACCTATAGGTCCTGGGTTCGAATATCGCGATGCGGGATCGCTCATGCGCGCTGTTGAGGAGTCCCACAATAGGATGAAACAACCGTTCAGTATTTTCAAGTTTTCCATGGCGGCCTAGATCCGCTTGATTCGTGAACGCAACTATTAAAGTTTGAAATTAACCAAAACTGTGAAAGGCTTATAGCTGAAAACTGGTAAAACCAAATATCATTGATCTTGTCTCAAAAACGAAAATTAAAATTAAAAGCGAAATAGAACCGGTATTCATTTGCGAAAACGAAACATCTGACAACTGCTAACTACCGTGTTAACATGTTCAATTCTTGTTTGTCTACATAATCAACAACGAAGTAAAGTCCTATGCAGTCGGGGCTTTTTTGACTTACTTTTCAAGGTAGGGTTTTTTTGTTTCTCTTTGCTATATTTAAACTCAGCTTAGAACATCATCTTATTTCATTTGGGTCCTTAACCCAAACTATTTTTTTTACCTTGTTCATAAAACTAGCTTATTCTTGCTTGCATAAAGTGAATGGATAAGCAACGTACTACATGGTTAATTAATTTGAAAGTATCGAGATAGTAGTTTTCTACAACAAATACTTACAAATCTAGTAACAAGGTTTTTCAAGAGAAATTTATTGAATCTAGCTATGAGCATCCTTCTGGGAGACCGATTCTTCAAGAGTTAAACGATGTAAAAGTTATCTCTTATAGGATGCATGTATGATAGGCAGAAAATGAACAACCCTAACAAACACCACTTGATGCTTAAAACTTTAGTGACTTTTCCCATAAGCTTTTACTCAGTCAGGCGGGACGTTTCGCGAAGCTGTTAGAGTATTTACTCTTCATATTCATGGCGTCATGCGATTGTAAGTAATGCTCATCTATATCTTTCAGTGCGATGATAGTTATCCCTGAACCCAGTTATATTTGATACTTAGTTGCAAAAGAAGCTGTAACCAACTTACTGACATCGATCCTTTTAGGTTGATGGATTTGTTGGCCACTGAAACGTAAGGTAAGATTAGCCTAGACAAGGAAATGATCAAAGTTGAGATAGGTAGTCCAAAAGGAACAGCAGTCTTGTCTACAACCACAACAGTGGTAGCTGATCGCAATGTGATCAGTCTACCATGGGGTACCCGGATAAACGCAGGTAAAACAATCTTTTCGAAGCGACAGACAAAGTGAATTTATATCATTTCGCTAATCCTGAATACGGGTCTCGGATAGACAACAGACATCGATATTAAGACTTTCTAAAGACATAGCCAACCCTCTCTGTTGTCCGATTTGCATTATTGTGTGAACGTTGAAGGCAGCCAGTTTGAATGGTGCACGTGGTTTCAGAAAGACTGTTTCAGTATACGTATTCGGTGGTGGCATTCAACTTCCGACCGGTCAATAACTTGCGATCGTTTAGATAGAACAGGGTTTGCACCACAGGCGATCTGCTGTATAAGTTGAAAAACAAGAATACACACAGTGAGAATATAATCTATACAGTTGTCTTAGCTCGTGTATCTATATTAACTTAGATATTTATTTTATAGTAATGAAATATCTCGGTTAATGTGAATTGCCTGAGTTTTAATTGAAGCAAGAATAATATTTCCAGTGGTAATTGTCATTTGATTTATGTATGGGCTTTGATACTTCCCGAGTGCCCAGACCAAAGTAGGTGATTTTCTTAGGGGGCCACACCCGAAGCCTTCGACCTAAAAGTTTGATCCACAAGGCAGCGGAAAAATGTTAGGAGATGCAGTCCCATGGTAGCTCGTAACCAGCAATCGGTTCATATGCTATTTGTTCCTTCAGGATACTAGAGCACATTTGCACCATTGGTTTGGAATCAGTTTTCCAACTCCACTAGGTGGACCCTCCGTATCCACCAGCCCGATTAAAGCGCCGGACATTCGCTTTTTGTCCTCTCGATTTCGTAAACAACACCCCAGTGAAAAAGGCAGTGAGTAGGACTTTCGTGGGAGCGGTTGTATAGATGTGGCTATATGAGAGCATTTCGAGAGGGAGAGCGAACTCTACCCTCGACCGTACCAGGGTATTTGGGGACATTAGATTATAAGCTCACCTATTAACGATGAATCGGATAGATTACTTGGGTATAAATGGTCTATTTTACGGAAACTAAACGAGTTACATCTGTCCTGAAATAAAATTCATAAATTGTACTGTCAAATAACCTTGAGTCATCACTCTTGAGTATCTTTCCTTCTGGCTTAGTCTGTCCGCTAGTTTCGAGTAACTGTAAGCTCCATCTTAAAATTGGGTTCAATACTGACTCCACATATGGGAAGCTAAGATGAAATCTTTAATAACAAATAGAAAATCGGTAGAAAGCAAAAAGAAAGAGTGCTTATATTGAATAGGTTCCACGTAAATACTCTTGGAAGTATGGCAGTGATTAATGCTTCCTGACTTCTCCAGATAAAAGAATTCGTTTTCTTTGAGAATTATCTAATGAATCGACGGTCTGGTTCATCTGAAACAGTGTCTACAAAACATGGGTGGTAAATCTATGAAGTCTATTTCTTGACTTATTTACTGTCTTCACCCCGTTGTGTAAGTGTACTTGACGTTGGTTATGACTAAAAATCATTGTACAGAAGTACCCGATGGGTGTATATTTAGCTCGATAAACTTCTAAAGAATCATTTTAACTCATTGGTGGTAAATTAAGGTAAGGCTCTATCATTTTTATGACTTCAATAATTACAACACAGTGCTAACTTTTGGGAATGTTTTTAATGAAGCCTCAACACTCTTGATAAGGGATAAAACTCATTTTAACCTGACTCGAGTTGTTACTTAGCAACATCATCAATGTGTACAATGCTTTTAACAAAGGGAATCAGTCAGTCAGTCATCTACAACGTAGGACCAGGCACATATATGCATCGGTCCAAGTTGCTACAACTCATTGGCACAATATGAACACCAAATTCATAGAAGCAGTTACTTCAATGATAGTAGTATGTATGAAATAAGATTGCATATCAGAATATGATACAGAGAAAAAATTAGTTCGTAGAAAGAAAGGTGTAAAGTAATTTTAATTTCATAGTTTAAAGGAAGACAAAGTGTATACAGGTACACCATTGTGGTTGATTCTGAGCCATGTCAAGGAAATAGTGACATTGTATCACTTGAATTTAGCGTTATTTTCAGTATAGCTCTGTTTTGTCACCTGCTTAAACGTATACATTTAATATGAAGTTTTACCGTTTCATTTTGTATTATATTTGTTTGGATTTTAAAAGCTTACTTTCAATATCTACTCAGTTTAAAATATATTGACAAGTTGTGTTTATTATCCCAAGTTTATTGAGTTCGTTAAAAGGTTTTCAACTAAGTCAGCTTAATGTCTTTTATTTCCTTAGTGCACTTCAATGAGTTGGCATCAGCCTGGTCTTGATGTTAGTGCGGCTCCTTTACATCAACTTACACCTCATGGTCTATTATCAAATGAATATCTTTCTGGGTTTGATCAGAGTTCTGGTGGTATGGATTCGGAAAACGCACTCTTGACGGAGCAGCGTGCACAGTTGACAGGAAGAGAACTTCAACAACTTCTTAGTGTTGCTCACCAAAGTTTAGATGAAGCTCAGGAAAGGTATCTAAGCTCATCTCAAGAGTCATTTTTTAACTCTTAGTTATAATGTTGCAACAGCTTAACTTATAGGATCACTCACTTTGAGTTACTACGAAAAAATTCCTCACGTTCAGTAATACTTTATATCTACTGTAGTTTAATATTTTTTCGTGCTACTATGATATTATGTAAAACACAACGAAACATTTGGTGCTCTAATTTGACATCACCGCCTTATTGATGTTCATCACTTTACTACATACACCTCTCCGGACTGTAGAATAATTTACATTGTTTTTACTCCAATCAGTTAGTTTATACTTAATAACATTGTAAAGTCCAATTGTCAGCGACTTCATGGACTGATGGTATGTTTTGGTTTGGTCCTCCCTAGCTTTCTTCCAGCCCACTCTTATACTAGCAAACATCTCCCACCAAGGTAGGTGGTGGTTGGGCATACATAACACATGTCCCAACCACCTCAGTTGATGAAGGTTTACTACCTCACCAATCTGTATCCCATCTTTACCTAGTACTCTACTCCTAACCCAGGGATCACTTACTCCGTTTCCCCAAAACACACTAGCAATTCTTCGTAGACACATGTGATCAAATACCAGTAACCTACAAAAATCCTCCATTCCTTATTGCCTATTTCCACACCCATAAAGTGGGTTAGAGAGAATTACTACGCAGTAAACTCGTCCTTTGGTTGGCAGACGGATATCTCACCTACACCACATGTGGCGTAATTTGGCAAAAGCCAATAGGGGACTTTGAATGTGTCAGGATTTCGTCAGACACCAGCCCGTCGGGACTTATAAGACTCCCAAAACATGTGAAGTAATTGACGCACTCAACTACTCCATTCCCTATCATTAATTCAGGTGGTAAAGCAAGTCAGTCCTGAAGTAATATTTTACATTCGAAGTGAGAGAACCGCATTCCAAACATGCTTGCATTGTTGCTTGAGTTAGAATACTTTGTATTTTGTCAGCTTAATAATAAAAGGAGTAATATATTCACGAAGTAGTTATGTTCAAACCAAACTAAGTGGCGTTGTAACTTTTGCCCGGTAATTATTACGTGATATGATTGCTAATCTGAACATGACTTATACAATCTTAGCACCGTGCCAAACCAATGACGCGTTTATCGGTACGAGGAGCCTAGAGTCCTTATTGGTCCTTCTCATCTAGCCCTGCCTGTTCAGTCCAGAACACCAATTTCAGCCTCAATTTTATGAATCATATATTTCAGAAATACTTGGTTTATATACAAGCAAACCAGACCACATCATACCATAAAATGAAAAATAACAATCATACGAGAAGATCAAGCCAAAAAAGTGGCCGTGATTGTGAAAGACTGTAATTAATAAATTGGAGATAACTTAAGAATAGTAGATCATATAATAGTATTCGATAGGTTAAATGAAAGCTTATAATAAAAGGAATATGAATAGACATCTAATATTAGTCCATAAATAATCCCTAGACTTTGCCATTCATTTATTCTTCGTTAGGATATAACAAGTGGATTAAATGATTCTTTGACAGCGCAAATCGTTGAAATACTGTTTCATGTTTTAATTAAACGTTATTTCCGAAGCAAATGCTCTCTATATTTATCTAAAGTTAGTAGTGAAACTCCTTGATAAGTACAGTTTTGTGCAATGCTCGTAAGGCTACCAAATCAATGTGGTAACTATGTTTACTCCCTACTTAGCAGAATTCTTTGTATCTGTTAGCAATATAATGTACATTATATTGTTGTATAATTAGTACACACATAACTTTATTTAGTAGGTGAAATCATTTCTCAACATCGGTTATACTTCTTTGGATACGTTTTTTAACTTTAAGTGTGTCTATGCTAATCAGTACTAGATGACATTACAACTGTCTGGAACTAGCATTAGAATAATCGGGTTATTGTGCTGAGTCACAATAAAGGTAACTTTCTTTAAATGCGTCGGCGCAATAAAGCATATGTTCCTTAAATGAAGTTGTTCAAATTAGAGCGTTGTTTTGTTCTGTCTTCTACACGAATAGCAAAATAATATAAAACTTAATAGCGACCAATTTAAGCCTTTATGTAATTATTTAGTTCATTTGTAACTCGAGATTTTACTCACTTACAAATATATATTTCCTAATGTTATTCTTTGTTTTTGACACAGTTCTCTCGTCATCCCATTTGTAATATTCATTGGTTGTTTGTATTTGTCATCTTTGTTTTGTTGATTTATAGAAAACAGTCATTAAATAGTCATAGATTAAAGCCTGCTCTATACAGTGTGTTCTGTGAAATCAAGGAGAAAACAGGTAGGTTTGTACATAGTTATTATTATGTAGTTGCAGAATATTTTTTCACATTTATAACGAAATTTCGTATATTTAAAACTGTTAGTCCTTATGAGGAAGTTCGATAATATGCTGCGATGACGTTTATCAAAACTATATATACGGCTCTAGTATAGTAAGTAGTACTTGTGGCCTTGTGCCCTAATGATACCGCCAATTAGAGAACAGTGACTTATCGACCGGACCAATGACGCATAAACCCGTACGAGCAGTCTAGAGTCCTTGTCGGTCCTTCTTTCTGCCTGTTGCATCCAGAACACCAATCTCAGCCTCTGCAATATGAACTATATATTTCAAACATACTAGGTTTGTATACAAACCAAACAGATCACATCGTACCATAAAATAGAAAATAACCTTTGTACAAGATCTAGCCAAAAGTGGCTGTGAATGTGGGAGACTGTAATTAATAGATTAGGCAATACCCAAGAATCGTATAATGATAGTCTATGGGTCAAAATAAGGCTTTTAATAAGAGGAATATGAATATGCATAGTTTAGTTGCTTAATAATTATACAACAAAAATATATGTATCGTATTGGTCCATAAATAGTTCTCAAGAGTTACCATTCATAATTCTCGACGGGATATAACAGTACTGATAAAATCTGGAAGTGGAAAGTGCGAATAGATTTTCGGGTAAACACACTCAAGTTCAGTATCGAGTTGCTATGTAGCATTAATCATTAGTTGAATACTAAGCACTTTTAAAATAAAGAATATTATGCATATTCAGTCAGTTGACCACTGGTCATCGAGTATTGATAAACTATACAAATCAAACAGGAAGTCATGTTATACGATATACCAGCATTGTATTTTAAATGACCAACTAATTAAACATCATTTCTTAAATTTGCACTATTTTGTCGCTTTAGGAAAATACTATCCTCATCAGATATAGAATTAAAACGAACTAAGTTAAATCTTTTTTGAACAGAATCTCTTAATATGTTACTTTACATAGTAGACAAAAGTAGCAGCTTATAGTTTTAATGTCACAATCTTTTTGTATTGTTTACTTCTCGCAATGATGTCTAGCTCTAAGTTTGAGAAACTCAGCTGTTTCTGCTGTAGAAGATGAAGCTAATTCACCAGATCCTCAGCTTTTACGCTTGGATAAAATGTTGGTTGCTGAAGGTGTAACAGGACCTGGTGGTAGTCTGAATAATGATCTAAGTGACGGTCCTGGAGACTTAGGTGGGGGACCCGGTGATTGTAATCAAATTGAACATGCTGATTATCGCGCCAAATTGTCTCAGATTCGCCAGATATATCATGCAGAATTGGAGAAATATAAAAATGTAAGTTTTTTCAGTACCGCATCTTTATAAGATTATCAGTTGCATTCTAATTTATCCTGCGTAAACTAATGATCATCCAAAAATAATTTTGTTTAGTATATAAGGTTTCCCTGACATTTGTTCTATTTTCTGATAAATAGTCGTATTAAACATAAGTGAAGCTTTTTCTGATGTGTCACTAAGTACTGACTGTAGGCACTATCGATTTTCCCCCGAACTATCCTCAACGTGGTTCTTCTGGTCAGCAAACCATACATATAAAAAAGGACTAGAAAAATACAATAATTAAAGAGCTCATCTTAGATCTAGACATAAGATTCTACTTTAACACTCCACTCCGTTTAATTAGATAAGTGTAAATATGTCTTACTTTTTGTACAAACCTGATAAGCTGTTGCCCTACTTCGCAACAATCAAGCGTAAGCATGTAAAATCAACTTATAAAAGATCGTAGTTGTCTGCTTATATTGTGACACCAAGTACATGTTAAATCTCATTAAACACCCTACAATTATTATTCTCACTCTAAGTTGTAAATCTCTGAAAAATTCCCATCATATCAAATCTCTGTTATCTGACATTGAAATCTGTTAGTTTTGAACAAAAAATAATATCAAAAGGTCAGATAGTAACGTTGATATCATACTAAATTTATCCAGTTTTAAGATTTCAAGAACCTTATTTTGGATCACACTCTGTACTAGAACCAAACTATTATACATTATGTCCCTATTCAACAACTACTCTGATGGTCCTTCTAGTGTTTTATTGATTGTGTTCATTCTAACCAGTGTTCATCTTGACTAAAGGCGATGGTAAATAACTTAAAGTAGCTCATATTTCTCCAGGTGAAATGAAATGAAATACTTTTTTCATGTCTTTCTCTAACCTACACGAGTCTATATCCTAATTAGCAGATAAGTCGTCAAATAGTTACACTTCAATTTCAACTAGGCTTTCAAAGATATGATTGATATTTGTTCATAATTTGTATAGACAGGGCCATGCCAATTTATCTAGGTGTTTGTGTAATTTGCACTTATTAGGTATTTCCTGGTAATACTAAATCCACTCTGTAGTTTAAGTCGTTCTCTGTTGGTTAGTAAAGGTTGGTGATTTTTGTTCCTAAAATTCGATCCGATCTCTTTAGAAGGCTTATGGGCTCTAAAAAGTTTGAAGGTCTTGTGTAAAAACAACTCTAATGTCACTGGTATGGAACAAAACAGCTGCTTAGTGCACCTCATTTTTGTTCGTTGTGCAACTAGCGTAGAATTTTAATGAAAGGAACTTCCAAATAATCGTGTCTAGTGCAATAACAATAACTTGGTGAATTGTTTCCATATTCTTATTTTGAGATGAAATGACCTATACTTCGTATGAACTCAATTTTTCCACTTTGAGTCATGCTGCTTTATTCATTTATCACTTTGGATTGAATATGATTTACAATAAAAACAGTTATTCAAAAGCTTTGCAACACTAAGGGTACATTAATAAATCATTAGACAATAGAGACACAACTCATTCTCCCTAACAATTTTATAATGTATTCTGCTTTGCATAAAACTTTTGTTTAGTCTTTTCCATTTTATTGTTATCTTTGCTGTTAGGCGTGTGATGAATTCACAGGACATGTTATAAATTTATTGCGTGAACAGAGTCGTAGTCGACCTATAAGCCCAGCAGAAATTGAACTTATGGTTGGTATAATTCGGAGGAAGTTTCGAGCAATTGAAACACAGCTGAAACAAAGTACTTGTGAAGCAGTTATGATATTGCGATCTCGATTTTTGGACGCTAGGTAAGTTCACGGATGAATAATAGGATCTGATATGTTTTTAATGAATGTTAAAAAATTAATTTTGGGCGTTCATAACTTTTGTTATTTCGATTGAAAATCCTGGTAGGTGGCTTATGCTTCACGAGGGTGTAACAGGCGTACGTAAGTGTTCTTAGATGCGGTTCATAGTTTCTTTTAAATAAGCGTTTATTGTACTAGAAACTTAAAATACTAGGCATCAATAGTTAAACTTTTGGGTTAGTGCAATGAAAAGATGGGACTCATTAGATTGTATGAATTAAAATAGTGAGTGGTTTGTTTAGAAATTCATGATTTTTTGGTATCTTTATTTATTAGTTCAGTTAGTCTTAACATCTGGTTTCGTCATAAAGTAATTTTGATTGATTTTCCGCTCTTCAGAGGAATTAGTTTCCAATAGTTGGTTTTCAAATTAGACCGCTTCTTTCCGTTTCCTTGTGTCAGGAGCGATAGTATAGTGACTAAGATACTTGACTTTCAATTATTTGGTTACTTATTCGAATTCTTCACCGTCTACTTCGGCTTCTACAACCGGTTAGCGTCAATAAACGTTCATACAAATATTTTAGCTCAAAGCCAGGTAGATAAACACGTGTTTGGTAAGTTATAAGAAAATTTAAAAAAAACTTGGGTGGCTTACCGTTGTTAGGGTATTTCACTTATTATCCCAATCAAAACTACGCAACAATTTTTATGATTTACCTTGTTCACTCTCTATTGTAAAGAAAGGATGAACAGTTCATATTACTTTGATATGGTTAGTAAATTGTAGGAATTTAGATAGTGTATATGCGCCTGTCAAATCCTGGAGGGGTCACTAAAACTTTCTGAATATCAAATATAAAACTGTTTCGTAGACTAATTTATTATGAAAGATAGTTTAAAGGTATCAAAGCAGTATCAATAAATCACTGGTGTTTCTCACTCTTGTGTTTCGAAATATACCAAATTTCGTTTAAGAATCTATCGTATCGAGGACATTCATCGCTCGGTGGTTCACTGAAGCTTTGAGACCAAAACATTTTAAACATGTACTGTAATTTTAATCAGCATTCAATCATGCTCCAGCAACAACATAGAAATCTTCCATTTCAACTAAACAACTGCTTGTTTCAGCCGTATATTTTCTTTGTTGTTTGATCAATGACTATATTACAGTGATGTGGCTACAAAACTCATTATTCTGTTGAATATCCTTTCCTTTTAGACGCAAACGTCGAAATTTCAGTAAAGAAGCTACTGAAGTACTAAATGAATATTTCTACTCTCATTTGGCTAATCCATATCCTTCAGAAGAAGCGAAAGAAGAATTAGCCAAAAAATGTGGGATAACTGTTTCACAAGTCAGTTTTCTGAAAATAATGCGCACATTTAATTTTTACACTTTTCATTTTAATATAATATTTTGGTAGACATAAAATCGTATATATATGTGTATGTCATTGATATTTGTATTCTGTTGTCACTGAAGTTCAGATTTACTCATCATTGTCTCAGGCATATAAAAGTGATATTTAACAAATTACCAAGTGATGAATATTCCACTTCTTTGGCAATAACTATAATGAAACTAACATTTAAGTTCAGTAACATAACATATCCTAATGGGGACCTGTTTCATAATTACCTTCTTAATGCCATAAGTTATCCTTGTTCATTATTTGAGAAATGAATTGCTACGTGATGTTTATGTGTAAATGACTCAGGATTCAAAGTCTGAAGATATTATTTTTCCGAAACTTAATGAATTTATAACGTTTTTGCTAATCAGTGTTGATGACGTTTACATTTGTTATAATTAAAACGTTTCAATCTACTTGATTATCACAAAATGATAAAAACCAACTGCTTACATTCTTCATGACTCGAATTTTCGTATTGCCATATCCATTCATTTAGTCTTAATTCTTATCGGTAATACTTAAAATATCAGTTGACATGATAGCTTTTATAAAGTCATTCCTACATATCCCAAATCTGTTCTGAAATAACATTATTAAGAAAAACTTTTATTTCATACTTTTGAACTATGGTTTGGTGGTTGAAAAAGCAAGTGACTTTCACCCAATAGGTCTCAGATTTGAACCCCGTTCAACCCATTTCGGTTTAGACAGCTATGTAGTATCACTAATCTCCATACAGACAGTTTATTTCAAAGCCAAGCACATTAACCTATACATCTTAAATAATTTACTATATAATACATCTACACTTCAAACACTATCCACATTTTTCGTTAGACTTCATCTTTCAAGGTAGAAAGTGAAGTCAGTTGTCGTTGTATTTAACTAACGTGTATTGTCTGGTTTTGTTATCAGCTTTAACCTGTGACTTTGATCTCTAAAACAAGTGTGTACATTCTGCTTGCGACATGCACATTTCAGATGTTTAGATGTGGTTCCAAAGATTGATTAACCGGTTAGCCACCAGGGTGTGTTTTTTTAATGACTGTATCGAGTGTCAATCGATAGAATAGGAAAGCGAACACTGACTCTCGTTAAATAGTTAGACCTTATCATTAGGTGTACCATTTTTCTTCCACTTTGCTCAGCTAGTTAGACCTGCTATTTTCATTGATTGAGTTTAAGTTGTATATGTGTAAGAACTACGGATTGTTGCCCTCTTCCTCCTTTTTTATGGGGCAGTTGTAGTCAAAAGTGTTCGTAATCATGTTCTTAATGCTTCTACATTCACTTGTCTAAATGATCATAACTGTAAATTCGATTCATTTATTGGCTCGTATTTTCATTGTTATCACCTTTTCGCTTAATCTGACTAGTCGGTAAATAATAGTTATGTTAAGGTATGATAATTTTTGCATTTTTCAAATCAGTTCGTTAATTACATCTTGGTACTTAATCATTGTCAATTCTAAAAATGAATCTGAACAAGTTATTTAAAATTCTGATCTATCTGTTAAAGTTGTATTCGCACAAAGTTACACTGGTGTAGGTTAACCTATAACTCTTCCTTCTATTTATATTATTAGTAACATCATTAGAACTCTAAAATTAATAATTGTTAGTCCAATTTGCTTTTGCTGTTCCGAGTTGATTAATATGATATGTCGTACTTGAATTTCCCCATTTCAATCGTCATTTTGATGATAATTATAACAAAAGCTGATCTAGTGTAAAAATCCGTTTGCTAAAATAACAGTTATGAATCCAATTAACCATTGGACCGTTTTTCATTCTACAGGTCTCTAATTGGTTTGGAAACAAACGTATTCGGTACAAGAAGAACATTGTAAAGGCTCAAGAGGAAGCAAATATGTATGCTGCGGCAACAGCCGCGGCAGCAGCTGCTGCTGGATCTGTGGCATCTGGAACTGGTGGTCCAACTTCATCTGATGAAGTTAGCAATTATTTTTAGTATTTTTGTAATAATTCGTTGCATTCAATTGTTACTTTCCTATTTAAAAATTTCGAATAAATCTTTATGGGATTTTTACTTCGAAGCTATGTGCTACATATAATGCTTCCAAAGTTAAGGGACTTTCAAAGTAGCTATTATACCTTTATCCCACTGTTTTAGTCAGTGAGTGAACTGATGGTTCAAGTTAGGAAGTCATTGTTTCGAAAGTTATGGAACTGAAATGATAACAAGGTTTTTGGGTTATTTATAAATTCTTCAAGTCCGGTGTCATTTTTTAACTGGAAAACATTACTTAGAGGAACTCGTCCATATGGGGGCACATTAGTTTTCTTGTGAATCATCTATATCACCATCAATAGTTTTTACATGAAACCTTGAAGTTCTATCTGTATGTACATTAATTGATGAACGCAGTGGTACAAATGGACCGTGATTTCGACGATCGCATTCACGTCTGTGCAAACGAATGTATACCAAAAGGTGGCCATCATTTCATTAATCATTAAATTTGCCTGGTTATTAATTACAAAGGTACCTCAGGAGATATAGTCCTTATTTCCTCACATCGCCAACAAAATGTCCGTAAGAACTAGTGTACGTCTCTCGTTTTTTCATTGATACGGTATGATTCCTCTTTCATAGTCACACAATGGACTCTTTCTCATTCAATACCTCTTTAAATTACTCATTAGGCATTTGGATGCTTCATGGTGTTTTACACGAAAACCTAGATATGACTGTTTCGAACCTAGAATAATTTGTTCGTATAACATACTGTTGATTTCAAAGCATTTTGCATGAAGATATGAGTGTGTGTTTAGTTGTTAATAATCCGTCTTCTAATATCTTAAGTGTAGGTCAGATTTTCTAATCATAAGCAACCTGAATGTTGTAGCTTCTCAATTTTAAAATTAATGTTTATATATTGCGTTAAATAAATGAGTTGGACGTTTTAAACCCAATTATTCACTTAGCATTAGTTAGATCTTAATTTCTTTTTTACATGGTGATTTATATCTTATTCATGTCTCATTACTTTTGTTTTTCTCTTTATTAGCATTCTGTTGGATATGGTCATCCCGGCTATGAATACGATGATTCTATGAGCCTTCAAAGACCTGTCCCTCAAATGTCCTGTCCACCTGATCATGACACTTGGATGGGTGGGGGAGGAGCTGGAGTTCTCGGACCGGGTAGTTTAGATGAACCCGACTGCAAACGCAGTAAACTTTGAGTACATCTATGCGTATGCGACAAGCTGTTCAAATAACTTCATTCACTACATTTTACAGCTGATGAATTCGCCTTGAAGTAACTTATTTGATAAGCATATATATATATGCATTTTCTTCATCTGTTGGTTTATGTTCCATATTTCGTTAGTTCTGTATTCCTTTAAAACATGTGTTTTGTAGAGGAAATAATACCGGGTTTACACAGTAATCCCACGCAATATATACAAGCGACTATGTGTATTGTTATAGGCTGAATTGTCTCGGCTTTTTCTTGCCTTTTGTTCTATTCTTTTTTTCCCGTATTTCGTTCTTTAGTATATTTATTTATTAATGTTCGTAAGTTCTCAATGGTTAAGGCCTGTATCGTTTTCGTGGTCCTGTCTTTATAATACAAATATCATGTTAATTGTATTCCCTTTTTCTCTATGATGATCAAAATGAATTCGATTTTTTTGGACATTTCACTTAAAACATTAAAGCCCTAATAATACTATCTTAATTGATGTTGTCTTTGTTGTCGTTTTTTAGTCACCTATCTTTTACTCTCTGGAGGGGATGTGAAAGTGCATCAACTTCCCATTTATACTTTCGTATTACGTATCTTTTGTGTCTTGTGTTTTTATTCTCTTATGGTTTAAACGGTTAATTTCTTGTCTTGAGAATTTCGCTTCACTTATTTGCTAACTATTTTCTATTATTACTTACATTCTTTTATACTACATTTTTTCATTCTGTAAGATGTGGGTGTGTATCTTTTAGGATTGTGTCGTAAGACGATTTTTTCTCTTTCAATTTATTTCATTTCAATAAAACAAATTGTATTACTTTCTCAGTATTGTTAATATTTTAAATAGTGGTGTTTCACTAACTAAATGTTCAGCTCTAAGTTTGAACTCCACTCATCTACTACGGTTTATATGTCCAATTAGTTTTAATCGCCTTCACAAACAGTTTATCATAAAAGGCACGTATTGAAACTCATAAGCGAATCACATCATAATCTTAATTAACAGTTAAGATGTATAAAATAATTAAAATTTCATCGACAATTGATATAAATTGTCCAGCAACTGTATGCTTCATTTTATTGTAAAAACAAAGTCTTTTTAAGCACTGTGAAAACTTTATTTTCAGATCGCTGAGTTTCTGTGGTATTTGACGTCTTGATACGTGGTTCTGTGTGACTTTTATTCCAGTTTGATGAGTATAATCCCGTTATTGCTGTATATTTTCCCAGCCTCAATAGCCATTACCACTAGGGATTTTACTCAAGCCAATTATTTGTTAATTTCCTCCATATTCTTACTTCATAACAGTGATGTTAATGTTATCATACAAGAAATACATTACAATAAGGAAATATCATATCTACTTAGTGCAAGAACAAATATGAAAAATCATTACTTTTATTATTTATTTAATTTCATCTATAATAATGATGGGGGTTTGCACAAGCGTAGACTTTCAGTTTAGCCTTCTGTGTAATTGTCAGTAAACGAGTTGTAGCAACAACGAAGAAAGAAACAACCTAATTGTGGAGACAGTCTAACAATTAATGTAGAGTAAACTGTTTAAATATCAGCAATGGTTGTTGAACCAGTAACTAGATTTAAGTTAGTTTTACTGAACAATTAGTATCTGACTGAGCTTGGAATATTAAGAAAATAAAACAGCTTGCTGAGTGGTAGGCCACTAAGATCTTATTATCAATGAGATTCAGAAATCTTATTTATGTGTCAGGAAAGTGATGCAGGCTTTATCAAACTCAAGAGTTGTTAAACTAATGTGAATTGTGTCGCGATGTTAATTAGCTCCGACAGAGCATCTATAGTGCGCAATCAGTTGGTCAGAAAGATCGTTTTGAATGTCTTGTTTTCCAAACACAGAAGTATTTAGGGGAATGAAAGGAATCGGGGAAATAAGATGTTTTATTTCCATAAACAGAGTACTGTGACTAAATGTATTTAAAACATTTTTGCGAAATAAGACTGATTCTATTTTATATCTTCTCATTATTCAAAACAGTAAGCACTTCTGAAATTACTTTATAAATTGCCCATCAACAGGATCGCGTTATCTACAGGTTGCATGGATAATGTATAATAACGGTAGTTAGCCATTTATTTCAGCTCAGCTATATAACTGGGAAAATCTTAATTAATTGGGTTGAATACCAATATGTATCTATCCTGGCTTCATGATATTTCTCATTCATTATTCCACTGGCTTCTTGTGTCTTTTCACCATTTCTCAGATTCTTTATGTTATGACTTTATGTCTGGCTTTTATCACATGATTTATCCACCAATCAAAATACGACTTATATAATCTTCGCACTGTGCCAAACCAGTGACGTTCGACCGGTATGGGCAGTCTAGTGTCCTTATTGGTCCTATGTCCGCCTAGCCCGTCCACTTGAGTCCAGAACACCAAATACCAGCTTCCAATATGCGAATCGAATAATTTATTTCAGACATACTGGGTTTATATATCAATCAAACAGATCGCAACTCACCATAAAATAGGAAATAACATTTGTACATAATAAAGCCAAAAAGTGGCTATGAACGTGGGAGGCAGTAGTCAATAAACTGAACATAGCTTATGAACCGTAAGTCGTACAATAATAAATTATAGGTCAAAATAAAGCTTATAATAAGAGGAATATAAATATAAATAATCTAATTATTGAATAGTTATACCATAAGAATGTATAGATAATATTAGTCAATTAAGATGTCTCAGAAGTTACTCGTACTTTAATCTTCACTAAGATATAACACTTTACCTAACAGTTACGTTTTATTTCTACTACTCAATCATTCTTGGAATTCTGTTTCTCATGTGATGATAGTTATTGAATTTATTCAGCATTCTCTTACAACTTGATCGGTCGATATCTACAAAATTGTTTTTATACCATACCAATTTATTCATACTATTTTCTGGTGGTATGTGGTTAGTTAATTCTTTATTTTAGTCACTGAGGAGATTTCTATTACTTGGTGGTTTATGGTGAAGGAATATTTCTTTTCAATACTGTTAGCATTTCACTGAAAGGATCTTTTAATCACTGAAAAATTCTCATCGTATTAAAACAATTATATGGATGAAGAATAATTTTTCATCAGGTTCTAAAATTATAAATTCAAGTCAATAATCCACAAAACTTATCCACACATCTTACCATTATGATTATTATCATTACACTTGCTAACCTTTTTGAGAAATTTATTCAGCATCCACCCCTATCTACTATATCTAACTTAATTCATATTATTCAATGTATTACGTAATTTCTGATTTGTAATTACATTATTTGAAATATTCCCATATTGTAAATTTAGAACAACATATATAAGCGAACAATATTGTTTTCGATTAGATCCTCATCAGGCTTTACCCTAATATACAGTAATATTTATATGCATATACGAAATTATTAAACCAATAATAATAATTTCGTATATGTATATAAATATTACTGTATATTAGAGTAAAGCCTGATGAGGATCTAATCGAAAACAATATTGTTCGCTTATATATGTTTTTCTAAATTACATTATTCTCTCTCTCACGCCATGTTAACCATATTTTTTTCTGATCATTTATCTCACAATTTCATTTCACTTATAAACTGATTCAAGTCAACATTTCATATTAGTCATCCAAACAATAACGATTTGATTTGATTTCATATTACAAATAGCAATCCTTGATTCACTTGTTACAATTTTAGATGGTGTACCCTGCCTTAAATCTGGCCAATTTTATGGATTATTAGTTTGGATTGTAGAAGCTGATGAGAAATTACTGAAAAGAATATACTTCGTTCATATAATTATGTTGTGAAATGACCTTTGTGTTATCTTCAACATCACACGTATCTAAAAATATTCTAATAATTTTTCTTGGTAGTAAGTGTCACCAATACCTGTGCGATTTGTTTTCTTAATTCAGTTATATAAATCATTTAGTTGTAATAAACACCTACCATCTGCATTATATGCATATGTTTGTTGATGATTTCACATTATGTTAATTAAAATCAATTTTATAAGTGATTGCGTGAATAAAAGACGACTTTCTTTGTTATTTAGCAAGATATAAAAAACGTAATTATGAACAGTTGCAATTGGTTAGTGCCTTTCCTATTCCTCAGTTAATATATTCTTTCTCAATATTACATTTATTACGAGTACTACTTACGAGTTTAACTTCCATCCAGTTACATTATACTTTTTTTTAAATCAAACGCATTGTTTCTATATATCATCTAACAGTATATGAATCTTACTTTTGATTAATTATATAGGGTTGTCGGAAATATTTTACTTGGGTAACGTTGAGTAAAGTTACTAGTCACATGGCTGACAAATTTATCTATTTTCTGTTCTATATTTATACTGATGGGCACTATATTTCATGGATACCATTTTACTTTAAATGTACTGTTTGATTCTGACCATAGCTTATAAAAGACTACAAAGGTTAGAAAGAACGATGAATTCAACCATATACAGAGATAGATAGACCCAAAACTAATAATCCGGTGTAGTGGAAGTGTATGACATTGGATGTACCGGAACGTGTAAAAGACACTTTACTGAGGGCCTTGAGTAGGTACTGTTTACTAAAACTAACTATGTATCAATATCAGTTAGGTACATGTGTATATATTTTGGGAGTTTTTCGTTTGCAATGCTTGTTTATATATATATATATATATATATATATATATATATAAATATATATATATATATAATATATATATATAAGGATCCATTGATACAATGTATACCATTTGTCTCCTTAATCCTTTTGCGATCAACTACTATTTATTCTTTGGTAGTCTTTGATTCTAATTAATAGACAGTATTGAAAATACTCATGTATATACAAAATAGATTATTAAAAATATTTAGTATTCGTTTGGTGTTTTGGTTTCATGATAAGTTGTGCGTTTATACTTCATGTATAATTCCTCTATAGGCGTCGT